CAATTACTTAATTCTGCCCCAGACTTGCACACCTCAAGTTTTAGGAGTAAAACTTAGGAATTTAAATTTTAATTCTTTGGGTTTATAAATACCTAGTTCTTTGGTACTTTGTAAGACACTTGCATTTCATTTAGCTATTGTAGTTGACCTTACCAGGTGGGTAGGTTTGTAATTTCTTTTTTTTTTTCTTTCCAACTTTTATTTTAGGTTCAGGGGATACATGTGCAGCATTGTTACGTGGGTAAATTGCATATCATGGGGCATACAGATTGTTTCATCACCCGGGTAATGAGCATAGTACTCGATAGGTGGTTTTTCACTCCTTACCCTCCTCTCACCCTCCACCCTCAAGTAAGCCCTGGTGTTTATTGTAGCCTGATGTTTATTGTAGTATACTTAATGTTAGCTCCCACTTATAAGTGAAAACATGTGGTATTTAGTTTTCTATTCCTGCATAAATTTGCTTAGGATAATAGTCACCAGCTCCATCCATGTTGCTGCAAAGGACATGATTTCATTATAGCTGCATAGTAATCCATGGTTTATATGTACTATTTGCTTTATGTAGTCCACCACTGATGAGCATCTAGGTTGAGTCCACATCTTGGCTATTGTGAATAGTGCTGTGATTAACATAAGTGTACACGTGTCTGTATGGTGGAATGATTTTTATTCCTTTGGGTATATAGCCAGTAATGGGATTGCTGGGTTGAATGGTAGTTCTGTTTGAAGTTCTTTGAGAAATCTTCAAACTGCTTTCCACAATGGCTGTACTAATTTACATTTGCATCAGCACTATGTAAACATTCACTTTTCTCCACAGCCTGTGGAGAAAATATGCAAAACAACATCTGTTATTTTTTGACTTTTTAATAGTAATAGCCATTCTAACTGGTGTGAGTTGATATATTATTGCAGTTTTGATTTGCATTTCACTAGTGATGAGTGATGTTAACCATTTTTTCATATGCTTGTTGGTCACGTGTATGTCTTCTTTTGAGTAATGTCTGTCCTTTGCCCATTTTAAAAACAGGATTGTTTATAATTTGCTTATTACTTTGTTTAAGTTCCTTCTAGATTCTGGATATTTGACCTTTGTCAGATGCATAGTTTACAAATAGTTTTTCCCCTTCTGTGGGTTTTCTGTTTACCCTGTTATAGTTGCTTGTGCTGTGCAAAACTCTTTAGTTTAATTAAATCCCACTCAATAATTTTTGTTTTTGTTACAGTTCTTTTGGAGTCTTTGTCATGAAATCTTTGCCAGGACCTATGTCCAAAATGATATTTCCTAGGTTTTCTTCTAAACTTTTTAAAAAATCATTTTAAGTTTTACATTTAAGTCTTTAATCCATCTTGAGTTGATTTTTACATATGGTGAAAGGAAGGGGTCCAGTTGTCCCAGTACTGTTTTTTGAAAAAGAATCATTTCCCCTTTGCTACTTTTTGTTGACTTTGTCAATGATTAGATGGTTGTAGGTGTGTGCCTTTATTTCTGGGTTCTCTAGCCTGCTCCATTGGTCTGTGTATCTGTTTTTGTATAGTACCATGCTGTTTTGGTTACTGTAGCCTTGTAGTATAGTTTGAAGTGAGGTAGTGTGATGCTTCTGGCTTTGTCCTTTTTATTTAGAATTGCTTTGACTATTCAGGCTCTTTTTTGGTTCCACATCAATTTTAATTTTTTTAAATTGTACTTTAAGTTCTAGGGTACATGTGCACAACTTGCAGGTTTGTTACATATGTATACATGTGCCATGTTGGTGTGGGGCACCCATTAGCTTGTCATTTACATTAGGTATATCTCCTAATGCTATCCCTCCCCACTCCTCGCTCCCCACAATAGGCCCCGGTGTGTGATGTTCCCCTTCCTGTGTCCAAGTGATCTCATTGTTCAATTCGCACCTATAAGTGAGAACATGAGTTCGTGTCCTTTGTAGCGACATGGATGCAGCTGGAAACCATCATTCTCAGCAAACTGTCGCAAGAACAGAAATTTTAGAATAATTTTTGCAAATTCTGTGAAAATGTCATTGGTAGTTTGATAGGAATAGCATTGAATCTGTAAATTGCTTTGGGCAGTGTGGTCATTTTAACAATATTGATTCTTCCTATCCATCAGCATGGAATGTTTTATACATTTGTTTGTATCATTTCTGATTTCTTTGAGCAGTATTTTGTAATTCTCATTGTAGGATCTTCCACCTTTCTGGTTAGCCATATTCCTAAGCATTTGATTCTTTTTGTGGCTATTGTGAGATCGTGTTCTTGATTTGGCTCTCAGCTTGCATGTTATTTGTGTATAGAAATGTTACTGACTTTTGTGCATTGATTTTGTATCCTGAAACTTTGATGAAGTTGTCTATCAGGTCTAGGAGGCTTTTGGCAGAGACTATGGTGTTTTCTAGGTATAAAATCATACCATCTGCAAAGAGAGATAGTTTGACTTCCTCTTTTCCTATTTGGGTGCCCTTTATTTCTTTCTCTTGGTTGGTTGCTATGGCTAAGATTTCCAGTACTGTGTTGAATAGAAGTGGTGAGAGTGGGCATCCTTGTCTTGTTCTGGTTCTCAAGGGGAGTGCTTCTAGCCTTTGCCTGTTCAGTATGATGTTGGCTGTGGGTTGGTCATAGATGGCTCTT